TCCCTATTGGATACAAGAGGAATTGACCTGGACTGTGGGTCCCACCAGAGGGGAAGGTCCCTGGCCTGTCCCCCGACCCACTAAGTGGATCAGCAGAGACTGTGTGGGTTGTTCTCCTTCCTTTTCCCCATGCTGGCCAGTGATGAGGTTAGCTGAGTGAACGGCAGATTTGAGCCATTAGCAAAAGTGGCCAAACTGAGGTCTGCCGTGAATCTGAGGCGAGCAAATCCTCCAATAAGTGCAGGACCCACCAAGGCAGAGGAGGAGCTTTGTCATAATAGCTATTTCTCCTCTGTTGCACAACCACTTTCCTATAGTCAGGAAAACACAGCAGGCAGACAGACCCTCCAAGAGTGACATCTGTGATACTCCCTAGTTTAGCAAATAGAGATTTCTATTTCAGTGGTTTGCCTACCTTTCCTTCTTTCATTTCTCTGGGGAAATAGTACAATCTAATGGTTTGAGTAGGGGACTGAGACTCAGACCTGAGTGCTACTCCCAGTTCTTTCCCTGATTTACTTTGTGACCTTGAACAAGTCACAACCTCTCTGTGCTTCCATTTCCGTATCTGTAAAATGGGGATAATCATACTTATCCACCTCTATAAATGTTTTGAGATACTCTAATGAAAGGTATAAGCATTGCTAATGCTTCTTAGACTCGAGTTGTGTATCATCTTTACTGATATTGATGATTTAGAATGTTTAAGAACTGAAGCAAATGTTTAATTCTGTGTCCACTCTTGAAGCTATATTCAGTTTTGATGACCTCATCTCAAAAGAACTACAACAGAAGCAGTGAAATGCCAAAGAAAGGCAATCAAAGTAATAAGAAGCCTTCCATTCCAGGAGAGATTAAAAGAAGGGATACATGATAGCACTATATAGCATAAGAAAATAGCATAGTCGAGAGATTATTACAGAAACATGGAGTTCAGAAAACTCAAGCAAATATTTAACTGCCCTACTTCAGAGTTTCTCCACCTGTAAACTAGAGACAATACTCGACTGCTTCTGTAAAGCTCTTCAAATTTCTGATGAAAGGAGTTTTAAAAGTTCAAAGCAATTTATAATGATATCCATAACAACAGTGAGCATGGGAGGGAAAGCCCAGTAGTACACACCTGTTTACATTATTCCATGATACAAGAAGACTGGGAAACATAACATCCGAATGCAAAAGATTAGAAGGGGAAATATTAGTTAATATACAGTATGGTAGATAATATGTGGCACTTTCTACAATAAGATACTGGGGCAAATGGCTTTGTAAATTTCCAAAAAGATTAGACACTTTGTTTAGAATAAGAATAACATCTGCAGTTACATTAGCTAGAATGACAATTTCATGAGCATTTACTCGTCTGCTTCATGGCATAAAATGATTATAGGCTGTGGTCAGGAAGAAATATCTCATGGCATAATATAGCACAATTGTCCAACTACACTGGTTTTGTTTGTTTGTTTGTTTGTTTCCCCACCCCCCTCTTTTTGAAGTAACTAGTATGTGTCAATGCTGGAGGTAGGACAGTGAAGAAGGTAAGTTCATTACAGCGTGTGCTATGTTCCTAAATAAATGTTTCAGTGTCATTGTTGTACGATCTCAGTGTGGTGACGCTGGTCTCAACTCATGGTCCTACAGCAGGAGAATCTTAGTGGAATGATAAAGATATCTTATTGTCCTGTGGACCTGCAGTGATGTTATAAAACAATTTCTGATAATGAGGCTCCTTTGTCTTGCTTTGTTTAGAAGAAGGTCAGGATTAGACTAAAGTGAAGTTTGAACTTTACAGAGAAGATAAGTGAAGAAGCTTATATTGCAGCCACATACTCCTTATGAAAATGTTTGAGACATGAATATTTGTTCCTTTCAGGGGTAAAATTATTTATTTGATTTCCCCCCTCCCCCCCTTCAGTCTGAATTTTCTTCTGTTTCATTTTGCAGCAGAGAACTAAACGAGGAGGCTGGTCCAAAGGGAGAAAGAGGAAGAAACCCCTTAGGGACAGCAATGCCCCGAAATCCCCCCTCACAGGGTATGTGCGATTCATGAATGAGCGTAGGGAACAGCTTCGAGCGAAGATGCCTGAAGTCCCTTTCCCAGAGATCACCAGGATGCTGGGCAATGAGTGGAGTAAGCTGCCTCCTGAGGAGAAACGGGTACCATTAACTTCCCTTTTCCTTGCTGGGGATTTGATTATTGTTTAATGGGAACACTATTGCTTACTGAGGAAGTTGACATCTGTGTTTGACCATGACTGTGTTTAGGAAGGTGTTTTTAGGTGGGGTGCAAAGGTCCTTAAGAGATAAAGGAAGGAACCCTCTTGGGACCAAAGTATCTCTCCCCAGTCATTGCTGGTGGAAAATTACATAGGCCCGATAAACATTGGAAGAGTATATGCAGGACACGCGTGAGTCTTTCAGAAGATAGGCAGACCAGAAGGGATGGGCTGCTCACAACTAGCTGGGGCAGAGCTGTTTTTTTGACAATATATTTGTCCATTTTCAAGGTCTACTAGCCATGTAAAGAAAGCATAGCTCTGTAAGTTGTGCTAGTGAGAGTGTTTTGTTAGATTTGTAAGACTAAAATTATCCCAGGAATGAGAATTTGTTTTTCTTTCAACCAGAATATGGTGCATCTCTCTTCATCAGTCTACCTGGGCCTTCTGCACTGTACCTCATATGTGAATTAAGGCAATGGCCAGCTTAGTCTGTTCCTTTACTTCCTTTCTCTGGAGCAGATACCAGCATCACTACTGAATTTGTACTATTTGTAGCTGATTTCTGGTTGGAGAGTATGGTGCTTCACTGTAGTTAAGATTGCATGAGAGAGTTCAGTTTAACAGAAGCTTTAAACCTTTATTTTGTAAAAATCTCATTGCAATGTCAAAAGCATAGAATATAAACTTTGGGTACTATTTGAATTTTTCATAGTTTTTTGATGAAAAATGAATTGATACAAAGAGAACAAGAGCTCAGAAATCAATCCTTTGGGTGGTTTTTTGTTTGTTTGTTTGTTTTTTAACAAAATGTCTTTTTTTCTTTGTAGCCATTTTTCCAAGAAATCAAAACATTCTGTCCTTTGTTCACATTGTTGCTCCTCATGTGCAGATTCATAGAATATCAGTTACACATTGATAGTGTTTGTCCATACAGCATTTGATAACATTTTAACCATAATAGAAAATGTGTGTCAGGGTCAGCTTACTGAATTTGATGACAAATCTGCTGCAGAATGATTGCCGTCACTCACTTCTAGGGACCCAAAAAAAAAAAAGGACAGATACTCCCTTAACAAATAACTCTGTAGCCTAAGGAAGGCTGGGAAAGAGACCAGGCGATCAAATCCTTCCTTTTTTAACTGCTGTTTAAATTCCTGTGGCATTCACTGGACTACCCTTATTATTGAATCAGGTCCTGAATCCAAACCTAGAAGACAGGGAAGGGCTGCTGAACACTTCCGCCCGCCCGCCCATCCCCTCCCTATCCCATTTTTAAAAAATAAGTTAGCAGATTGCTTATACAAGGATACTCTAGGCCTGGCACCCAGGTCTCTAACATGACAAACCCCAGTATGACTAAATTAGGTTTTGGGTCTCCTAGCTTTAACCACTATAAACCACACTCATCTTCCAGAGTCAGGAATCAAATCCAGAATTCCTGATCATCAGTATTCTACTGCTGACTAGAGAGTACTTGCATAACCCAGTGGAAAAGCATGTTTCAAGTTTCTCTCCATTGGCTGGTCTCCAAAGGGACAAGCAATTACTCCTGTCAATCAAGTGACAGCAGTCTAGCTATGGATCTTTCTCCCCGTATCAGGAGAGCTATGTACTAAGGTACACCAAAGCTGTATAAAAATAAATAGAAAACTGGCAAACAAAAACTGCATTTAATGGCAGGTAGGGTTGCAGCAGGACACATGCTATCCACCCAAAGCCATAAAAGGATGGCTATAAGAAGTTTAGGGGGTAAGACTTGTGCATTCCTTTCCACCTTCAGATTGCCTACAACATTGTCAATAATTCACTCTAATGCTCCATAAGGCTTTCATTTCCATCTCCAACACGTACTCAGAAGTAATATGTACTCCAGTGTCATCAAACTTGCAAAATCTTAATAGTGACCTCAACAGTGTTAAGGCAAAATAATGTTCCAAATGCATGGAACATGTGATAGCCAGATGTACTGATCTGTTGATATAATGGATATAAAAGCATATGAAGTCACTTTTAAGGTTTTGCCTGAGTAATATGAATAGGTTTGCATAATACAGCATGATATAAACTTGTATGGGGAAAAAGCCTTAAGCATATTGTACTGAAACATGATAGCAAGGAAGGGAGCTTTTTGATGAAAGGGTCCCATTAATTTCCATGTTGTGTTATGACTATTCTTTAAGTGGTTTGCAGTCCAGCAGTTTCCTTATATTGTTCCAGAGCTCCCTGCATTAAGCAGATGTATGAAAATGCTTCAAGATTATTTCTTAAAAAACAGACTGAAATATAACTAAGGCTTAAACTGACAGACCCCTCTTGGTTCTATTCTCTCTGTAAGCTTGTCATAAACATACAGTTAAGGGTTAATTCCTCTTTTACCTGTAAAGGGTTAAGAAGCTCACATAACCTAGCTGACACCTGACCAGAAGGACCAATAAGAGGACAAGATACTTTAAAATCTGGAAGGGGGAAAAAAGTCTCTTGTCTGTGCTGTGTGTGCTTTTGCCGGACACAGAGAAAGAAGGAACCATCCAACTCCTGTAGGGTAGTGAGTATTTAGAGAAGGAATGTATTAGATTTACTTTTATTTTCTTGTTTGTGTTCTTTTGCAAATAAGAGGGAAGATAAATTTGGGTTCTTTGTGTAACTTTAAAGTTTTGCCCAGAGGGAAACCCTCTGTGTTTTGAATCTGATTGTCTGTGAGATTATCTTTCATTCTAATCTTACAGAGGTACTCCTTTTACCTTTTTTTTTTTCTTTAATTAAAATTCTTCTTTTAAGAACCTGATTGATTTTTCATTGTTTTAAGATCCAAGGGTTTGGATCTGTGTTCACCAGGACTAATTGGTGAGGGGGGATTCTCAAATCTGCCCA